TGCAAATTGGTTCTTCAAGCAAGTAATTTGTGAAATGCTGATCAAATTTCTTTACTACAAAAATTCTCAGAACCCTTAATACACTGACATGCACTGCCTCCATGAGGCAAATATAGGGGTACAGTGTTTCTGAAACTTAATTGATCATGGAAATGTTTTATCAGTGGCTATCTTCTTCATCTAGCATTCCACATGAAATAGTTCAGGGAATACTGCAGATAATAAAAAAAGTTTTTTAATTCAATTTTATGTTTACCAAAAATAATGCACAAACATTCCATAAGTAAATAGTACTTACATGGGTTTATTTATGATGAAGATTAGCCCTTTGCCTACATCTCTCCACCTTTTCTGTCCTTTCATAAGCAGCTACATTCAACTTTGTCAATTATTTCTTCTGGTATTTATCTCCATTATTTCTAAATAATATGCCAACACTAACATTTATTCATTTTAAAAATTCTAAATATTAGTCACGGATTTCCTGCTGTGGGAAATGAGGCTCTGCCTGCCTCTCAGTATAAACAGGCTTCCTTTCTCCCATCTTCCCAATAAGTTGTATTACAATTCTGGCTTAAATCCACATTCTACATTTAATTATTACAAAGTTATATAAATATTGTTTTAAACTGAACGATGCAGTATATTTCTTTTCTTCTAATCCTGAGTTTTCCTTAGTGTTGATAGTTGCCTTGTTTGGTTAGTTTTTAAAAAACATACCTATCACTAATTCATCATAAAACTGTCCATCAGAGCTTATAAAAGTCCTCTCAATATGGTCAAGGGTATCAGACAATCTATTAGGTTCATCTTTTTTCCCCTTTAGAAACACTGCTCATAGGATCACCAGAAGTCTCCCTGCTTTCAGTCTAACTGCTCCCTAGGACTGCTGAAATTTCTCTCCACCACCATTCTGGAAATTTGCTTTATTTCTTTTCTAAAATGGATGGGCCCTCTTAGAGCAATTCATCTTCCTTCTGTTTTCATCCTTCCTCCTTCTTGGCTTACTCCCTTGTTTGTAGAGCACATCCTCCAGAGGTTTCCTGATAAAGTGTGCACATGAACTAAATTTGAGCCCTTGTATGCCTGAAAATGACTATTTCCTCACACTTGATGAAAACTTTGCCAAGTATATATAAAGTAAAATAAAGTGAATACCATGTTCTACTTCCATTTTTGCTGAAAAGTTGAAGTTCTTTTGGTTTCTAATCTTTAATGTAAGGCCTTTCTAAAGGATTTTTTTGATCTTTATTCTTAGTGTGGTAAAATTTACAAAAATATGTATTGACAATGGATCTTTTCCGCTCATTTTTTTCAAGTACTTGGTAGGTCCTTTCACACTTTTTCATATCTTTCTGTTCTGAACAATTTTCCTATATTATCTCTTTAATAAATGTCTCTCCTCCCTTTCCTTCTGAACTCCTAGTAGTCACATATGGAACTTAAGAATTAATTATCTACTTTTCAAAATATTCTTAGCTTTTCTCAGTCTCTTTGTTCTCTTATATAAATACTTAACACTATCTTCCAATGTTCCAGTTGAAGTTTTCTCTACTTCTGCTAGCATAGATTTTATTTCTAAGAGTTCTTTCTTGCTCTCTAATTCTTCTTTTTCTATAGAATCCTCTTCATGCCTCATAAATGCAAGATGGCCTCATATATCTGAGGCTATTAATTTAAAAAATTTAAGTTTTCATTTGCTCTCCTCATAGTCTTTCATTTCTCTGAGTTTAAAAATATATATTATTATTAGTTTATTTTCTATTTATTTTGGTCCCTTTCACGTTAGGTTTCCTTAATTGGATATTCTTCTTTAGCTGTCCATTCATATTTAACAGTAAGGCACCAAAAAGTTGATTAGAAGTCATGTGTGGGTGGGGGGGGAGAGGAGGCAGTGCCCATCGTCAGAAGGTGTTAAGATGCAGACCCAGCTGTGTCATCAGACAGCTCCATAAATATCCATACCTGCAGGCCTTTTCTCTTGGACTGGTCAGTGTCTCAGAAAAGCCCTCCAAAATTCTGCGCAGGGCATGTAAGTTTGGTTGCCAGCAGTCCTGGGAGCCAGCAAAGAAAGCCAAAGAGCCCAACTGTTTGATATGTGACTTTCACTTAATTCCTCTGTTTTCAACGTAGTAGTGGCTCTACCCTCTCTCAAATGTGTCCAGACTCTTCAAGTCTGGTGCCTCCTGGATGCAACCTAACATCACTTAATGAGCTAGGGTTTGGGTTAATGATGTGGCTGAACATAGGTCAGGAGGTCTAACTTCTCCATGTATGTTCTTTCCATGTATGTACTTCCAGCACCTTTTACCTTTTAAGGCTCATGGAGCTTTTAAATCCTGAACGTTTCTGGAGTTCTGTGGGACATTTCAGCATGCTGCATGTCCTAGACCTGCTAAAGGCAAGACTGAGTCTCAGCTTAGACTGTAGTTTCCTCTGCTCTCCTAAGTAAGCTAACACTCATTGTCCATCTTCTCTATTCCAAAATGTTGACAGTATTCCCTCTTCTAGTCCTTTTGTTCTTGTGAATTATAACTTTTATTTATTTAAATATTGTAATTGCTTTGTTGATCTGGATGGATTTAGGTACTTCTCTTCTGTATTTTCTAAAGGACGTGCTTATTGATTTTGGAAAGAGGGAAAAGGAAGGAGAGAGGAGGAGAAACATTGACGAGACAGAGAAACATCAGTCACTTGCCTCTCACACATGCCCAAATGGGGACCAAACCCACAACCCAGGCATGTGCCCTGCCTGAGAATCGAACCTGTGATCTTTTGGTTTACGGGATGACACTCCAACCAACTGAGCCATGCCAGCTGGGGAATGAATTATAACTTTTAAAAAGTTCTTTATTATAATTTCAGTAAGGTTTCAGTGAAGGTAAATGACTGTGTTCAATCCACCATGTTAAATGGCAGTTTTGTATTAATCAAAATTTGGTATCCATACACTAACCTTCTCCATATTTCCAGTTTTGATACCTCGAGACTGAGTAGAAGTAACCAAGAAAGAGCTTAAAATGTAAATAAGACATCTCTGAATAGTAAATGTTCTACATGACTTATTATTTAAAATATATTTTTTGATCAATCTACATTTGATTAAATAAAACTGCTCTACTTTCTCAGTGCTGTCAACTCGAATTATTTCTACGTGTGTGTAGCTTGACTTGCTTCCAAAGGGTACCTTTGAAAAAGACACTTCATCCTTTTATGTGCTGAATAAAGCAGGCTAAGAGTTTCATAAAAATTACAGCTTATAGATGGTATTAAGCAATGTTTCATATTCAGTATTTCTACTATTTGTGAAAGAGAAGTTAACCAGAATTGAGAATTACGAGTGATTCTGTGAGCTACATGGGCCTGCTTTTATCTGGCCCTTAAAAAATAAATAAACAAACAAGCAAGCAAACAAATAAATAAATAAAGCTTGTCTCTTATCTTCCATATAACCTTGCAAAAAAGTATCATTATCTCTGTTTTAGGGATAAGAAAGCCAAAGATAGGTCATTTGCAAAAGGTCACCTAGATAGCAAGTGGCACAGAAGAAATTCAAGCTTAGATCTGCCAAGACTTTTCACAATAACCAAAATGAATTGTATTTCTGTTAATAATTTTGAATTGAATCAGTAGTAATCATTTCAGGATAAAAATATGACTTCGACTTAAATCAAAAGTTTCATATCTTACTAGATAACTGGATGCAAAATACTTTGGAATTTACTGATAATTATTTATTTTATAAAAATGCTATGAGTAAGTAATAACTCGCCAATGATGAATCCCAAGAGTCTGCATGTGAAACATTCTTCCCAGGTGATTCTTATGTCTCATTAACATTTAAGACCCATCCCTAGGGACACATGGACCTGACTGAGAATTTCAGAATACTCAGTTTTTGTCTCTACCTGCTGGCATTATTCTAGAAAACTTTATCACTGTCATCATCTACCATACCTACATTTTAGCTTCACCTTTTTTACCCCCTATGCACCAGCAACCAGCACATCCTGTCAGCTACCCTCTCCTCCTACTGTCACACTCGAGACCCAGAACTACTCAATGCAGCAATCATCTCAAAATCAAAAGTATCCTCTGCCTAACATATCCCCTTCCTCTCCCACCAAATCGGCTCTTCAGCCTCAGCCAGGCTCTAATCTCAGGACTTCCGTTTTCTCCCACCTGTCAATTGCCCTCTTTTTCCTGCTTGCCCAGATGACAGTCTCAGGCACTCTCGCCACCTGCTGTGGACCTCCCCACAAAGGTCAGAGGACCCACGCTGCACCTTCCAGCCCTGCCCAAGATGTCAGTGCACAAGATGGCGTGCCACAGTTAGTTTAGCAGGCTGCTATCCTTAGACCTCTCTTCCCTTTCCAGTTCATGCCAGCCTAGTGATGATAATCCCTATAATAATTTAACACTCACAGAGCACTTACTACATTTGATAACAATTATCTCATTTAATCCCCACAACCACTGTGAGGTGGGCACATTATTATCCTCACTATAAGCTAGAGATATTGAGGCTAAAACAGATGAAGTAAGTTTGCCTAAGGTCTCACAGAGTGTATGTGACAAGACTGAGATTCAAACCCACCCAACTCCTTTCCACAGCCTGGGCTCAAGTTCCTTTTCCTCCTGCTCTGGTAATAAAAAAGGAGGAAAAAAAAGAAAAGGGGAAAAGCAGATCAGGCATTTGCCACTTGGAGAAAACAAAGTCAAGGTAACTATGTTCTTGGAAAGTTTTGCCCACTGCTCTGTTCCCCTACACTTTTTACTTTATCCTTAGTTTTTAAAACTCATCTTCATAAAATGGCAACAGATAATGAATGGTACCAAAAAAAAAATATATATATATATATCCTGTTTTGTATTAATAAGTTCTGTTTGAACCATTTGCCTTTTATTTATGAGTCCAAACTTACAAATAACAGCATGTAAAGTACTGCAAAAAACTTTGGAATTAAAAATTAATACTGTGGCCAATTTTTCAAACTCACCTCTTATTTTTCTTGTAATTTTCCAGTTGCTGGCACTGCGTATGTTTGTGTCTTTCCAATTCACACTGTGCACATAAATCCTCCAGATTCAGCAGGTGGTTTTCTACCTCCTCAAAACTTGTTTCTAAATAAGCTGAAAGTATATAAGATCAAAAGAACAAACATCAAAAATCAGAATCCTTGACTATGGAGAAAAGAAAAAGTATCCAAAAGTTAAAAGTTTCAACTGTTGATATTGTTTTGCATTTACTTAATATTCCTTATTAAACTTTCTTGAAGCAACATAAAATAAACTGACCAACATTAAAACTTACTTCAAATTATCTTTTGTGAGTACATTTTTATATTTCAAATATTTTCAAGATGTGACTTTCCATAACACTCTATTATCCAGCACGATGAGGAAACAGTATCTTGATTAATCTAACACTGTATCATAATGACCCCATATATGACACATGAATAATCAATTTCAAATGAGAATACAGCAAAAGATAACACAAATTATATTGAACATAATTTAAAATTTTATTTATTTTTTTAAAGATATTTTTTAAAGATCTTATTTTATTTATTTAGAGAGGAGAAGGGAGAGAGAAAGAGAGGAAGAAAAACATAATATGTGGTTGCCTCTCATGCACCCCCTACTGGGGACCTGGCCCACAACCCAGTCATGTGCCCTGCCTTGCAAATCAAACCAGTGACCCTTTGGTTCACAGGCCAGCATTCAATCCACTGAGCCACACCAGCCAGGGCTAATTTAATAGTTTAGCTTTCAAGTTCCTTTAGTATTTGTTTTGTCCCAGCACATCATATACATAAATCTTCAGGCAACTGTAGAAATGTACAAATACCAAAACTTGGTAAGCATAATCAGTAGTTGGTAGGAAGACAGCTCTGTCCACCAGTCAACTAGTCTTTCACTACTCTACTTTGCCTTTAGGCCACAGAGCTTTGCAACTTTATTGGAACATGGAGGTTATCTAGTCAAACCCATCACTTAAAAGACGGAAGACCAATGCCTACAGAAATTAATTTAGTGCCTTGCCCAAGGTCACTTAGTTAGATAGAAGCAGTCAGAAATCAAAACTGAGCCCCTCCTACACGACACTACAATGATTTCCAAATGATAGGGTGCTAAGTAAACCAAGACTTCACAGTGTAGGGGTGAGGACTGGTTTTCTTAGACAACAAAAACGTTTTAAAGGTCAAAGATTTTAGAACTCAAACAGCACTGTGGCTATTTACCTAACACTCGCCACGTGTGCAGACACTGGGATACAAAGATGAAAAAGACAGCCTCCGTCTCAAAGAGCTTAAAGTAGAGGGGAGGCATATTATCAATGACAACACAGTCGGAAAGACCTAGGCATGAGGTGCTGTGGGAACTCAAGGAGCGGCAGGTATCTAACACAGATGAGGGAGGAGGAGGCAGAGGTTCAACATGAGATCCAACTCCTAAGTCTGAAAAGTCACAGCCATTCAGAGGGAAAAGGGACAGCTGTGAAGAAGCTGGCTGTACACCTTTCTAGTCTGTTTCACTTAAGTATCTGCAATACAATTACAGTGTGTCAAATTCTTCATTTATCTATTGGATTTTCATATGATTTTCTAAATTAGCTTTTGTAGCACCTAGATTACAAGCAAGCTCCTCGAATTTTAACTTGTAATTTTAGTTAGATGTGAATTCTGGCCTGTTTTTTAAATTTTTTTATTTTTTTAATCCTCACCTGAGGATATGCTTCTTGATTTTAGAGAGAGAGGAAGGGGGAGAGAGAGGTAGAGAGGTGGGGGGGGGGGTGGAAGAGGGAAATGGGGGGAGAGAGAGATCAACTGGTTGTCTCCCGTACATGCCCCAGCTGGGGCTCGGACCCACAACCTAGGTATGTGCCCTAACTGGGGACAAAGCTCCAACCAGATGAGCTTCTTTTTAATTAATCTTTGTTTGCTCAAAAGACCTATTGAATTTAGAAATATTCTCACTTTCTGATATCTTAAATTTTTAACACTACTAAATATCTATGCTTATAAAACTACCTCTTCTATTTGGTAGGGTCTAGACGCAGAGGTGTCCAACCTGTGGCCCAGGATGGCTATGAATGTGCCCAACACAAAATTGTAAATATACTTAAAACCTTTCTTTTTGGGTTTTTTTTTCCTCATTCGTTTTTGTTAGTGTATGTGTATTTAATGTGTGGCCCAAGACAACTCTTCTTCCAGTGGCCCAGAGATGCCAAAAGGTTGGACACCTCTGGTAGAGCTTAAAGACATGGATTGCGGGGGCGGGGGGGGGGATAAAATTTTACTGAAAAGCAAAATGTGATGACAAGTAGTTTAGCACTCCTCTTCAAAGACGTTATGCTGACTTTAATCATATTGATGTATCACTGTAAACCACTGGTAAGTCTGCAAACTGCTGATAATAATGTTCATAACAGTTTTGGACATATCTTCAGGAACTACACAAAACAGCTAAATATTTTATTATAGCAAGCCTTACCTGAAACAATTTGCAAAATCTACATTTTAATCTATTAAAACATGTAACTAAGATTTTTAACAATGTCATAAATGGTATGAAAGGAGTTTACAGTGGGGGGGCAAACAAAATGATGTGATTATTATACTAGTTGCTACTAAGATTTTTTTATGTTAAAATGAGAGATTTAGGCTGGAAGGTAATCCCACTCGCCCTAAGGAAGCAATATTGAGCTCATTCTGTTAAAACTAGTCTGACAGGGTGTTAAAAGATCCTAACTGACAGGTTATTGAAAAGGTTATTTCACTTTGATTAGTGATAAGAACTAGAATAATTAAATTTAGCATGGAATCCATTTAACTCTAAGCTACACAGTGCCTCCATGCTACTATCAGAACCATGCACGTTATCCTCAGCATATAGGGGATACGTTAAAATTGCAGTTTGAATCACAAGCTTGGAAACTAGATTTGTCCCCTACAGATGAGATGAGATGATACCTCATCAGTCAAAAAAGAGCTAACAATACACATCTTGCAAAGCGGTCAAAAGGGTTCAATGAGGCAAAGTGTGTAAAGTAGCTAACTTAGCATTTGGCAGTAAGTAAATAGTTAATGGCTGACTATAAAAAAAATGCAGAGAAAACTTTTTATAAAGATTAGCTAAGTTCTGTAAAAGTCATTTGAAACTAATAATTTTGAGGCCAGTTTAATCATGTGGTAAATAATGCCTATGCATCCAACACACCAAAATATCAACAAAATTTTCATTTTTTCTGGCAAACTTATATACTTGTAAATCATACTCAAGGCTATGTTATGAGACTTAACATCCCTTATCCTTAAAAGTGATGAGGGTTACATTCCAAGTCATTTTTCTCAAAAGAAAATATGTAATGGAGTCACTTATATTTGAAAATTAATATATTTTTTACCTATTTTATTTTTATTTGGACAGATGGCAATTCCCATTTAGAGTCTATCCCTGTTGATTGACCAGAGAGCTAATGAGGCCAGGAAGTCAAATACAATGATCCCTTGGCAGGCCAATTAATTTCTCCTGTTCTAGGTACAAATTGAACTTGCCAGCCTAGTTCATTTCTGTTAATAAAATGGGGACCAGGTGAAAATATATGAATGGTTTAGTACCAACCTGGAATTACTAACAAGAAAGAAACAAACCACATGTTTGTTTCCTTCTGAATAGGCCAACAGCATCATGTTCTTGTGCTGAAGAGCAAATTTAGATTTAAAATCCCTGGGACAGTCAGGGGCCATTTCATTGCTACCACCGAATTCAATTTGTGTTCTCCCCTTTAAAAAGTTTCAAAGGTTTGCAAGAACTTTAAGAATCCAGTTTAACCCCTTAACTAAGTATTCAGGGACCTGTCACCCCCTGGCCACAATCTACTTTTCCAATCTCACTACTACTTTGCTTCAGGACTCACTCCAAGAAGAGTCCTGCACGCTCCCTTCTTCCCTCCGCCTGTCCGTGAGATGCCCCTGCTTGCCTCCATTGTCGAGCTCAAGCTCCCTTTTCAGGCTCAGGTCAGTGCAATCCCTCCCTCCAGCCCTTAGAGCTCTCTTCCTCTTCTCTGCTTCCACATGGCTTTGAACCTTATATAGGCTTACATTCTGACACTATAAATTATTTGTGTACTATCATCTCTCTCAGGAATCAGAAAGGGTCTTAAGGGTAACAACTATATTTTTGCATTTTTGTAGCTCCTAATACTCAGTCTGTTGAATTCAATTAAGAATGATTTTTGGTAACAGAAAGAGTCTGTCACTCTAAAATATAAACTAAGACAGTCTAGTTTCACTTTTCTGCACACATCCGTCCAATTTCCCAATATTGTTTACTGAATAAACCATCTTTAGCCCATTGTATGTGCTTTCTTTCTCTGTCAAATATTAATTGACTATAAAAGTGTGGGTTTATTTCAGGGCTCTCTATTCTGTTCCATTGATCTATGTGTCTGTTTTTATGCCAGTACCATGCTGTTTTGATTACTATGGCCTTATAGTGTAGTTTGATATTAGGTAGTGTGACATACAAGAATTCAAAATAAAATAAAGACTTAAATATTAGACCTGAAACCATAAACATCCTAGAAGCAATATTTTTTTCTGATATATCTCCTCAGGAAAGGGAAATAAAAGGAACAAATGGGACTATATAAAACTAAAAAGTTGTTGCGCAGCAAAGGAAACCATCAACAAAATGAAAAGGCAACCCACTGAATGTGAGAACATAATTGCAGATACATCTGATAAAGGTTTAATATCCAAAACTCATAAAGAACTTATGAGTTTATAAAGAACTTATAAAGAACTTATAAAACTCAACACCAAAAAAAAAATCCAATTAAAAAATAGGTAAAGGACTTGAATAGACAATTCTCCAAAGAAGACATGCAGCTGGCCAGTAAACATATGAAAAGATGCTCAACATCACAAATCATCAGAGAAATGCACATTAAAACCACTATCACCTCACACCTGTCAGAATGGCTATCATCAATAAATCTACAAACAACATGTGTTGGCAGGGATGTAGAGAAAGGGAAACCCTTTTGCACTGTTGGTGGGAACGAAGACTGGGGCAGCCACTGTGAAAAGCAGTATGGAGATACCTCAAAATATTAAAAATGG